AACAATTTAACAAAATATTGTTAAAAACATTTTAACAAAATGTTCATATTATATACCTTCCAAGAATCTGGCTCAGCATAGGGATAGAGTTATTAAGGAATTGGTTCAGAGAGGTTTGTTTTAAAAATGCAAATGCAGCTCCTATAATCAATATCCATCTCTCTCTTTCTCAATGTTGAAAATATTTCAAAAGTACAAAACATATTCCCACCATCAATTCTATCCCTTTCTCCTTGCTTACTACTTCAGTGGCCTTGGAAAAGTCAGACACAGCAGTTTGCATTTTCCCTTTGGCTCTGCTTGATTTCTTTTGCATCACTTTCTTGCCAGTCCTGATCCAAATACAAGTTGGTGGCTGGTTGACTCTTCTACTCTATGGAGTTCTTGCTGCCCTCTGAATTTGTTTGCAGATGTTTCATTATCCGAGTGCCAGTGAGTGTGTTGTTTGCTCCCTGTTTATATACAGTAACTTGCCCACCAATGGGGATGTGGTTCTCCTAGATAGTTCTTAGATTATGGTATTGTTTTTTGTTTGGTGTTAATTCTGGTTTATCTGGGTGTTGGCTGCTGGAGAGTATATGTTCTGATCTTTTTGTTGCCTCTTTTGAATGGTGTGTAAATCTGGTTTATCTCTATGTGTTTAAAACAGGGAGCAAAGAAAGTCAGATCTTGCACTCTACATAACCCCATGTGTAACAACCCCAAACTAATTCTCTATTTGAACCCCTCCTCCAGACTGGGATGGTTGCTCTCCAACACTTTTAAATGTAATATTTAATCCCCTCTAGTTTAGGGTCCAAAAGCACTTAACAAGCATTTTCAAAAAGTGATTAGAAAAAGAAGTATGCAAACGAAGTGTTATTTCAAAGGCATGATTGCAGTTTGAGCAAGATAGCTATTTCCTTGTCTCCCAAAGTGCTAAACCTGCTGGAGACTGCTATTTTGTGATCTCTTCATGGGCAATTTGTGTGCAATTATCAAAGCGCTGTCTCTTCAGTCTGCTGAGGTTGTTGGCTCAGTTTTTCAGAACCATCTTTGTCATTTCTTCCCTGGAAATCCCACAACTCCACACATTTAATATCATTTCCCAATCCTTCACTAGGAAGGGCCCTGGTTCTGTCTTCTTTACAAGTTATAGTCAAATTATAGAGTGGTAAAAATCCCTTCATTTAATCCCACTATCTCCTACCTTATTTCCCTCTGTTTATCTTTATATCCGAAATCTACTTACTATATCTTCCAATTCAGAGTATCCAAATTACTATTAATTCTCATGCAAATAACTACTGTTTGTAACTCTCTGGGTTATATGTTCTTTGCATACATTTAAAATCAGAGTAATGAAGTATTATTGTTTCTTTTGCTCTGCATATTGGTACATGCTTCCTATTTGTTAATTCTGCCTTTTAAAACAGTGAATAGATTAGCCTTATTGTGAATGTTGCTTGAATTTTTCTGCATTCGGAAATCTGATAAAAATGGGGTGACCTTTTCAGTGTAAATGTAGGCCTTACATATTGGGGAAGATAGTATATGTCAGAGTTTGCATATGTTGTGGTGTAGAATTCTTTCATTTGTCTATACCATGATAATGTTGAAAACAAATATGTTAAGGTGCATATTTCATTCTACTTTAATGAATTTTAAATTGTATTCAATATGTTGACTGAACAGAGCTCATACCTTAAGAAGTTTATTTTTCACTTGAATATATCAAAAATTCATTCTGGAATTATTTACCTAGTATAACTACATGAAGTGATGTAAAGCAAAAATAACTGAGTTTGAAATGTTAAGAGATAAAGCTTTCTTAAATGCAAGCAAATATCCATTTATGGATTGTTTTAGATTTATATCGTAACTTTCTGCATATAGTATTCCAAATGGTTAACAATGACACTAAACAGAGTGGAAATGGTTGAAACAGGGTATTTTAAGAATAGGAGAATAGAATTGATTTGAATTAATTGGTCCCAATTTCATTTCTCTGCGGAAATTATGTTTTATTTTGAGTTCAAGATAAAAAATCCTAATAAAGAGTTTATTTGATTTATAAAGATCACCTACATTGGGCAACTATGGCCCTTTTACAACCTGTGGACTTTTACAACCTGAGACAGCCAAGTTGTCTCAGGAATTCTGGGAGTTGAAGTCCACAGGTTGTAAAAGGGCCATAGTTGCCCACCCCTGACCTACATAAATTGTGAATTTCTTTCAGCTTTTTATTGTTAACCTGTAGAGTTTTCCAAAGATTTATCTGACAGCGATGTTGAACCAGGTCTGCCCATCCTCCATAATTTTTTGCTGGTATTTTTCTTTCTCATTCATCATTTCTTCCACAATCTCATTTGACACCTTTCTTCTTTTTAGCGTTGCTGTGCTTAGGATATTAGCTTTTCAACAATGTTAACAATGACTTTGGAAGAGCTTCTGAGGATCTCAGAACTAAGGAAAGATTATTTTTGTCACAATAAAGTATAAATTTGATATTGCTGGTCTTGAAAATGCTCCCTGGGAAAAAATGTTCAATTTCCTTTGAATTATTTTTGCAAGAATAAAGGCAATGCAATGTTGATACAATATTTATGCTTCTATTCAGAATGATTCTCAAATATTTATTTATTGCCTAAGCCACCCAATTTACAAATGGTCTCCTGACAAAGTGCAATAAACCAACATAAAGATAACCATAATGTAGAAATAATGCAAACATAATCTTGAAAACTGGCAAACCATATTCTTTACTAACATGAATATAGTACATATATTGACAACAAGGTCTTAAGTAAATCTCCTTTTCAACAACTTGGTTTTTAAAGGTCAAAAACAGCATCAGTATCAAAAAGTTTACTAATAACAAATATAAAGCTTCCATTGGCATATAGACAGTTTGCTGCATTTTAGATCAATTGCAGATTCTAAGTAATTTTCAAAGGCAACTCCACGTAAAGTGTAATGTAAACGTCCAAACAGAAAGTTCAAGACCCTTTTCAGAAAAGATTGCAGCTAGCATATTACTCACAGAAAGACAAAATCCTCCTAAACCATCATCTCCACGTGTATTTTAACATAATGCTAATGAAATCTGATCTGAGCATAGAGAATAGACAAAGGTGGGTCAGTTCAAGCCATAGACCACCTAAGTGATTTCACCATCAATATATGCAGTGTAAAAAGGCATTCAAGAAGGCTTACAAAAGTTGTAAACAAAAGCCTTTAATGGCACCTTCCCTTAACGTTAATGACCTTCCCTTAACGTTAATGATCATATCAATATCTTATCAAGGTGAAGAAGAATAAGTCTACCATGGGAAACTGGCAAGTATTGATTCAATCTGTCATAATCTGACAAGATTTCAGATCTGGGCTTCACTTTTCTGGTGTTTTAACAATTTGAACTTTCATAGTACATTCTCATATCAGGTACGTGTATTGGTATGGGAAGTGATTATAAAGTCTTATATGAAAACCATAGTAAGCATTGTATAGCTTTGTAACAGAGCTAGTGGAGCTTGAAAAATAGCTCTCAGTCTCGGTATCAGAAACAGAACTGATAAGATCTCTGAAAGTCACAAAGCTCCAGGCATTGACTAAGTTACACTATATCAGAAACAGTGAAATCACAACTGATAAATACCAGCATTTGTTTCCTTATTTATATATATCAACCAAGGTGACCTTATATCAAAGCTTTAGCGATACTCCTCTTCATGTGTGTGAGGACAACAAACAATATATGGCTATTATAGACTTAATCTACTGAACAAGACCAGTAACTATTTGCCAAGCTTAAATATTTTCAAGATTGGGTTGAAGCCAAGGGAATTATTGGAGATGAACAAACTGGCTTTAAGAAGGGCTAGTTAACTTGTTCTCCACTGTCTTATGCAGAAACAAAATGGAAATCTCTCTCGTCCATGTTTTTCTGGATTTTAAATTTGCTTTTGATTCTATCTCCAGAAGTATTTATGAGAAAAACTCTACAGTACATTGATTGATAATTGTTTTCTTCAAAATTTAGCGCTGAAAGCAACTACTTGGAAGGATTAACTGTCATTGTCAAATAGTTCTTAATAAGTGACAGCTTAAAGAAAAGGGACAAAAGCTTTGTCTTGCACACTAAACCATCAAATAATTTGTTTGGTACTTCCTGTGTCAAATAATATTTTGTAGTACTATGAATAATGTTATATACCTAATTATGAAAGGGTTCTGCATGGAGCAGAAGGTCACTATATTAGATAGTAATCACATTTTTATCCCGTCCTTTCTCCAAGAGTGCATACATTACTTTCTCACCTATTTCTAGTTTGAACTCACACTATGAGTTTTTTTATGGTACCAGTGGCCCTACATCCTTCAGATAGCTTCATTCCTAATGAGGAATTTAAACTGAGCTTCTCCAATCCTAGTTTTTTCCTAAAAGAGTATTTCATATATCACAGACACAAAGCAATAATAGATTAGCTGAATTACAATTTCCTGAGTTCAGAAGACACAGTATGCAGTATGTTTATCAATGACAATAGCTGGCTGACTTCACACAATACAAGCATGAGGAACAAACATTGAACCTTAACAAAACAGAGAAAAGAGGTTCCATGTGTCTGAGAAAACATAATTCCATTTTGTAGATTTCAAAAAGCCCTGTATCAAAAGTCTACAAGTGTAACAACAAACACCATAGACATGAACAATTTAAATAAAATTACATTCCAAAGTAAATGGAAAGTAAACCATGCATAAACCTCTTAAGATCAACCCTATGATATAAAATAAAAGCATAAGAAATATTATTTCTACTTTGTATATAATGTACATATACTTTGTATATAATCAGTCCTATTGTAATCACAGGCATAAAAGCCTGGAACCAAACTTTTCTCCCAGCACTATATTTAAGCTTATCTAACATCTTTAAATCAGCATGCCTCATCTGTGAGTTATTCTAACAACTGTATACACTCCAGTGTAAGATTAAACATCTTATTCATACTTACCAATATAAATTTCCATTCTCTCTTTTTATACTTTCTACTTGATCTCTATTGAGCACACCATGGGAAACTGAAAGAATTTAATGTTGATTGCAGTAATAAGAAGTATCCATGGTAATGTAAGACCACTGTTGAATGACAAAGAATGAAATTCATGCTTGGAATATTAATACAGAATGGATACATAAGCCATTACCTAAAAGAACAAATACAGTTTACAAGAATCTAGGAATAGGAATAGCATTTAGAATTATAAACCGCTTCATAGTGTTTTACAGCAGAAGAGAAATGGAAGGAACTGGAAATGCTGAATCTTGAAAAATGCAAATTGAGATGTGATATGATAATATGGTTCAAGAACCTGAGCAGAGGTCACATAGAAAAAGATCAAGATCTGTTTTCAGTTTTCACAAAGACTAGAATTTGGCTTTAAGTGATAGAAGAATAGTCTCCAGTTCAATAATAAAAAAAATTAGCAATAAGAAAAGTTCAAGAGTGGAACCAATTATTCAGAGAAGTTACGGACTCACCTTCGCTAGAATTCTTTAAGCAGAATTTGACCAGTGGTTTTCATAGACATTTTAAATTGGATTCCTGCCTAGAGCAGGAGATGGGTTTAACTTTCTAAACGGCCAAGTCTTCCAAATCTATGATTCTATAACCATGATAGAAAGGGCAACGTATGTAACACAATTTTGAAATTCAGTTCTTCTTGTGGTGTAATCAGAAAACAAAGAAACAAATTCTGTTGTGTCTGTATAAGCTTAATTTGTATGCTCAAGGTCAGGTATTTAGCAAGTTGTGTTCACATTGTATTACAATAATTCCTTTGAAAATTATGTAAAGGATGTTTTTCATAGGTATTGGTGGACTAAAATAATCATTTCCAATATCAGCCTGAGTGTTTGTTATATAGCTATTATGTGCAAATATCAAGTGCAAACGGGAGATTAGACATTGTTGTGGACTGTCTGCATGTGAAATACAATAATAGATTGTTAACAGAAAGCTTTGAAGTTTAGTTTTCTTGTTGGATTTATCTGTTAATTTTATTTTTAACAGTAGATAGATGGTAGATCAAATTATCTGGGCGATAGAGCTGTAGAAGTCTATATAGACCTGTTATGCAACATGGGGGGAACTATTATTGTTAAAATATATTTATCAGTATTCAACTAGGATAATTTATGTGTATGTTTGTTTGTTTTTTCTTTTTCTTCTTTTATTTTTCATGCACATTTCTTTTGTCCCATCCAGTTTTGCTTTGTTACTGTTTCCTTTTTGTTGAAGTTTGTATTTTAACTTTGGAAATAAAATTATTATAGAACATTGATTGGTTATTTGGATAAAAGTTAGAACATGTAAGAAGGCAAAGGGAATAAAGATCAATACATTAATCAGATATAAATAACAAAAAAAAAAAGCCTAGAACTACATAATACTGGACCATGTAATATCAAAAATTATTGCTCTGTATGAAAAGCTGAAGGTTAATGATTTGGCTAGGTAGGACATGGTAGGAGAAGGACATGGTAGGAGAAGAGATATGATGGCAAAAGTCAAAAGGAGTTTGGTAGCATCTTTTTTTTTTTCATTTTTTTGAGCTTCAGTGCACTTCATCAGATGCAGCTTTTGACTTGACTAAGATGAGCCATATCCAGCTTCAGTCTTACAAAAATACTGCAGGAATATATTGAGACATTAGTCATTTGATCATATCTTTGCTCATAATTCTAGTTTGGGAAAATGAATTTTGAAAAGACAGAAATGTAATAGCTTTTCTGTTCTGCACTAGAAATTTATCTTTCTTACAACTGGCATAAGTATCCCATTTGAGAAAGGAATTCAAACAGAGTAGTCATGATTTGAAGGTTGGAGTTTTCCATCAACAAGAAACAATTTCTTATTCAGTAGTAAGCTTCTGTATAGTTTATCCATATTATAAAATGCAGTTTCATTTTTAAAAACAAGGGAACAAAACATTTCAATGTACAATCATATTTATTGAAAAATTATTTGAGAATGTCAAAAACCAAATAATTCACAGGCCTACTTAGGTAGGTAGCTTACTTCCATTACATTGAAACAGGTTTATGTACAGGAATATTGATTCAGTTTAAAAGAAGTTTACCTTAGCATTCTTGTTTACCTTCCATAGTTCATTTTTGCAGAAATCACCTGGTACCATTAAGAAACATTTGATTCTCACCTGGAAATGTCAACATTTCATCAAAGCAAACAAAATCCTTCGCTTTTAAATCCTGAAATAATGGCTCATCTAGGCTGGCAATTGTGCCAAATCCATTTGTATACGCCATGCAGCAGCATCTACAGGAAGCATCAAAAAAGTCAAGATGGCAGCAGCAACAATGCAATGGAAGCATAGCTCATGTACATTACTTTCTAGCCAATATTCACTTGTCTCTTTTTGTGCCTTACAATCTCTTTATATAAAATACTGAAAAGATGGGAATTGGAAACTGTCTTCCTTCCTTCCTTCCTTCCTTCCTTCCTTCCTTCCTTCCTTCCTTCCTTCCTTCCAACAAAATGAAACACAATATAATAAAACAACCACTTAAAACAAATAATGTTGAAATCCCAATAAAATTCACATCACTCCACCAACCATCCCATGCTAGTTCTAGTAAATCCTAAGCAGTGGTGGGATTCAATTTTTTTTTACTACTGGTTCTGTGGGCGTGGCTTGGTGGATGTGGTGTGGCTTGGTGGGCGTGGCAGGGGAAGGATACTGTAAAATCTCTATTCCCTCCCCACTCCAGGGAAAGGATACTGCAAAATCCCCATTTCTTCCCTATCAGCTGGGACTCGGGAGACAGAGAATAGATAGGGGTGTGGCCAGTCAGAGGCGGTATTTACCGGTTCTCTGACCTACTCAAAATTTCCACTACCAGTTCTCCAGAACTGGTCAGAACCTGAATACCACCTCTGATCCTAACCTCAATGCCTGGGAGAAAAAATGGATGTTCACTGCTTCCCTGAAGGCCAACACTGTTGGGGCTATCAGTATCTATAGGGCTATGATGGTGAACCTATAGCACGCGTGTCCAAAGTGGCACACGAAGCCATGTCACTCAGCATGCGCACCCTTGCCTGTTTGTCTTCCAAGTTTCTGGTGCGCATGTGCGCAAGACAATCAGCTGTCATTTGTGTATGTGGCAGTGCCAGAAACCAGGGTGTGCATGCACGCTGGCCAGCTGATTGTCGGGTGCGCATGTGTGCAGAACCCAGAAGTTCGGCTTTTCCGGAGTGTGGCCCTGACGAGCGTGCGAGTGCATGTGCGATGTTTCAGCATGGCCTTTTCGGCACTCAGTGCCGAAAAGATTCACCATCACTGCTATAGGGGGAGGCTGTTGTTTAATGGCAAGCATTATAACAAAGGGCACATTTCCAGGGCACCATAGGTGACACTAGTGCACTTGGGAGGAGGAACTTGGATCATAGCCATTGTGCAAAAAATCTATTAGGACAGTAGAGCCCTGAAGAATAGGCAATTCTACAAGTAATTCAGCCCCATTCCATATAGAGTATTAAAGAGGAATTATTCTTGAATTATTCTTGAAAGCCTCCTGGGGACTAGGATAACTTACACAATAGCAGTTGCATGAGTGTATTGAGGTGCATCCAGTAAAATGCATACCTGTTTTATTTGGAACCTTCTCCATCCTTAGGGGCTGAAGAGCTAAGGTCAGTAACCCTCTTAGATTTTCATCTTTTCTTGGGTTCACAACAATCTTCTGATTGCCATTGTCCTTTGGCTTGTTCCAATTCCCTTTTTCCATCACCTGAATTTCAAGACTTTCTACCACATTGAGTCTTATGTATTAAAATAGTGTCCTTCAGACTGGAGTTAGTTCCACATTTGGAAAAAAAAGAGGAAAAAATGATTAATAGAATGGCTGCATGTAGGCATATTTTATATTTATTTATTTATTGTTTATTTATTGGTTCAATTTATATGCCGCCCTTCTCCGGAGACTCAGGACAGCTTACAATGTGTTAAGCAATAGCCTTCATACTTTTGTATATACCTGCTTAGTAGCCCCCCCCCCAAGCAGTGTTCTTTTTATACAAAATCAGCTTATTGCCCCCACAATCCGGGTCCTCATTTTACCTACCTCGGAAGGATGGAAGGCTGAGTCAATCTTGAGCCTGGTGAGATTTGAACTCGCAGTAATTGCAGGCAGCTGGCAGCTAAGTGCTACTTAACAGCACTTTAGTCTGCTGCGCCATCAAGGCTCACTATATGCTATCTTGACATGTATCTAACTTGGTTCTACTCTGGCTTATATTAATCTAATGCTAGACAATGAATTTTAAGTAGCTGTAATAGCTATGCATCTTATAAACACAGTCTCTAGAGTTTGGGGATGGTTACTTTCATAGGTTACTTTCTGCTCCTTTATTGCAGGTAAAAGCAACAGAAAAAGAATTAGAGCCTTAGGTTTGCCCGATCCTATTTTAGAGACAGATAGCCCTTGCTGTAATAAGCAAAGAAATTAGATTAGTCAGCCTTTTAATAAATGTATGCAATGTCTTGATAACAAGATTTTGGAGACAGAATTAGATTTCCCTATATTAACTGGGCAAAGGCGTGAGGAAAGGACATTGATAAAGGTTGAACTCAGTCCAAAAATTGTGACATTTTTGCAATGGAATCTGATAAGAAAGATCAATTCTTCCAGAGACCTTTAAATAATGTTTTAGTAGAACGACATAAGAAATTGTTCTATTAAATATTAGCTTTGAAAGAAACTCTTTTTTCTTTGGCTAAAACTTCACCCATTTATTTTATGCTTATTAGCACCAACATGATAGAAGATCAAGACTATATTAGAGGTATTCAGGGTCCGAACTTGCCCAGTTAATACAGGGAAATCTAATTCAGTCTCCCAAATCTTGTAATCAAGACATTCAGTTTTGAGGGACAGAGGCAAAACTAAAAATACTGTAGAGAGGAAGGTGACAGTTGAAGTTGGCAAGATAGGAAATTGGAAACTTGGGAATAGAAATGACAATTTTATAAACAAAGGCTAGATCCAACTAACAGGTTGCAAC